CCACACCTGGCGCTAGGATAACTTGTTACACAGTCACTGATAACTAACGCAGTCCAAAACACTTACTCTGCCATGACTGGAAGCCAAAAGTATGTGTTCATTGATAATTTTAGCTACTATTGGGACTGGGGATTTAGCTCAGTGGTTCTGCCGCCTGCTTCACAAGCACAAGGACCCGAGTTCAATGCCTGGTTTAAAAAAGAAAAGTGCATATTAGCTACTATCTCCATTACACAGATGCAATAAAGTGGGGCAAATACTGAATTAGCATTACATTTGATCTTAGCCAAAAGGCCGAGAGGCGATCTCAATTAGCATTAAATGCTACTCATAATCCATTTTTTTCTTCCTCTAGCATAGGAGCTTAAAAGCCGAAATACTTAGTCACATTACTTTGCATTTAGTAATTGCTACCTAATATTATTAATGAGATGTATATAAAAGTGTACTGGGAAAGGGCTTCTCTTGCTGAACGAAGGACAAGGCCTTAATAAGAAGCTTTTGGTCTATTTTCCTTTATCCCAGCTGGAAAATAATGTGAACTGCCATCTTAGTTTCATCTGTATGGAAGCCTGGAGATTAGAAACCTTAAGAATGAAACCTAGCATCTAATGACATGGAAAACTGAAAATGGTCTAGGGTAGGCCATGATTTGTTTGATCAGGTACCCATTCCTGGTATGCCTGCCTTCAGACTTCCTTTTGCCTGAAACTAACAGACCTTCCACCCCCTACTTTTGGTTTTTTGAGACAGTCTCACTATATAGCCCAGGCCGTCCTCAAACTTGTTGCAATCCTCCTGCCTCAGCCTCCCAAGTGCTGCAATTACAGACGTGTGCCACCACATCCAAATGAAAAAGGTTTTGATGCATGCATGGCCAAGTATCTAGCACACAAGGGTGAATTCTGGCTATCCAAAGAAAATACAGAAAAATTGTGTTTTATTCCCTTTCATTGTTGTACAGTTTTTCTTTCTCAACTCTGAAAGCTAAGTTTTGGCTTCAACTCCTACCATTTCACCAAAACTATCCTTGTCAAAGGTCTCAATTACTTCCTTTGTCACAAAATCCAGCAAGCACTTTTTTTTGGGTGGGGGGGTTGAGACAGGGTCTCCCTAGGTAGTTGAGACTGACCTGGAACTATGTAGCGCAGGTTGGGCTTGAACTCACAGCGATCCTCCTGCCTCAGTCTCCTGAGTGCTGGGATTACAGGCGTGCACCACCACGCCCGGCTCCAGCAAGTACTTTTTAAATTTTTTATTTTAACTTTTCCATAGCTCTTGATATTTTTGGACTACTTCCTTTTTCTTAAAAAAAATATCCTTCCTTCTAGGATTTTGCATTCTAACTTTTCACCTGTATTGACCACTCTCATCAATTTTGTCTTCAGCTCATCATCTTCTGCCTGTCTTCTAAAGGAAGACACTATTTAAGGTATTGTCTCAGGCCATTCTCTCTCTGATGATGTCCACTCCCACAAATTGTTACAATTTGTAGGCAATGAATCCTCAATCTAGATCTTCATTTCAGAACTTTTTATCCTTAGGACCCTGACTTCAAATACATCAGTCACCACAAACTCATGTGGAAAACCCACAGCAGGGTATCACTTGACGTGTCAAAATCCATACACACCACATTCAACTTGTTTCTGAGGCTCTTTCACTGCTTTCCTAATTAATAAAATAACACTACCAATCACCAGGTCAAAATATACCTAGTTTCTGTCACTGCCTTGGCAAAAACATCTTTATTCCTCTTTTGGCTACTGAGCTGCCCTCCTAAATGGTTTTCCAATCCTTTGTGTTCTCTTCCTCTCATTCTCTACACCTGCTTCTGTGCGTTAATGGCAACGAGTCTTTTACTATATTACATTTTAAAATTTAAACATTCACTATATTTTTATCCACCATGTTATCATACATTTATGACAATAAAAATGTGTGTCCTCATCTAACTTATTCATCAGATTTGGCACTGTACAACTTCTGACTCTTCTCCAAAGCCAAAATGACCATGAAAGGTAAATGTTTTGAACTGACTCAGGAGGCTGGAGCAGCCACAACTACACAACTAAAGATACTCATGAAAGTGGATTTCCTGAGCTACTTCAGAAAATGGCAAGAACAATGGGCTAAGTGTGTTCAAAGAGAGGGGAAGTATTTTGAGGGGGACCGGTGGCAATGTCTTTACCTGGAATTTTTTTTAAACTGTATATTCATCATATTTTTATACCACACCTCATACCTTTTCCTTGTCCTCTAGATGAAGCCTTTACTAACTGCGCTTGACCTACTCCTCCTGCTGTGCTCTTGGGACTTCCCTCATCAATTTGGTATGGTCACATAAATTAATTCAGAGAGGCGAAACTATACAAGCCCCATTATTGTGTTACACTCATTGGAGCACATTCATTCCACTGCTACTTGATTACTATACTGTAAGAGGCAAGTAATAGCTTTTCCACACTTGATGTGCCTGATTTATATTGAGTCTGAAATGTCATAAACAGAGAAATAACCACACTGCCTTCATTCTGTCCACTCCAGATGATCCCCACTGGACTAAGCAGTGCTTGATAACAACCAGCCAGATCGTAAGGGCACAGAGGGAAAGACTATGTACAGTTAACAGGAAGGACTGAGACAGTCACAAGTTGACCGCTGTCTCACAAGTACCAAGCATATCTACCAGTGAATGTACACCTTGCCCGGTGATTTGATTCCAATCACTAAAACCATGCCTTTTTATTTTTTATTTTTTCGTTTTCCCCCAACATGACCTAAAATACAAGTTAACAACAAGAATGTGAGGGTCTGTAATACAATTTTGGAGATGAGATGGTGCAATGTCTGGGGCCACATCTCCTTCCATACTGTTGTTACTTCCAAACCTTCAGGGCTTTTGGTCTGCATTTTTTTTTAAGTTACCAAAATCAATAATGTCAGAATGCATAGAACCAAATGAAAAATCTGAAAATCAAAACAGATTCCTAGTTGACAACTAGCTGGTTAGCTTCAGGATGGAGAAGAGATGAGAACTGTCACTTCAAACAAGACCACAGACTATTCACAATAAACATTTATCATAAAGCACTTTATATTTCAAAGTCTAGCTGGAAACTTTAAAAAATGAGCAGGGACCACAGCAGTGTTTGGATCTACACACCCAATTCTTTCTTCCTTTACGAAAAGCACACATAGCAAAGGCTTCACACTGGTTATGAGACCAAGACAGAACTTGCTCTGCAAATATAAGAAAAAGATAAAGCAAACCTTTTATACCTACTCCACCTTAAGGCAACTATTAGTGATGTTATTCTTTGATCTTTTAAGCCATGCTCACTCATAATATTGTCAATATCTTTGAAAAAAAGCCCATAAAAGCATTAAACAATTTAAAGATCTTTCACAAACCAAATGACAGTAGCTTTTTATTAACATATCTTACAATGTTGACTATTTCTAGTTTATAATTTCTGCTTAATTATAAAGGTTGATTTAGCTTCTACAGTAATGTACTGTATTTAAATGATCATTCATACAAGATATCACACCAGTACATTTTTTTTGAATAATATACACACATCACTCTAACTTGGACCTGTTATTTTTAAAAGTGGGTTTATAAATGGGACTTACAAAAGTTATGGGGAAAAATTAAAGTTCTAGTTTAGCAGCATGCATGTATGTATTCAAGTACAATTTTCAACCAAATGCTTTTTTAGAATTTACTGGTGACTAATTCACCAATATCAAAATAAACACTATCAAATACCCAAATTTTAAAGTTAAGGCTAATATTTTCACTTCACATCCATATGCACAACCATAAAACATTCCATTTTAAATATGTAGTAATCAAAATCTGAATACATTATACCATGTATATATATAGCATCAGAATTTCAAACTGTAGAATTATTCAAGTTCATGAATCCTATAACAGTGTTTACTAGAGATGTAAATTAGCATTTTGCTCTTCAACCACACTTACAAATGGTCTGGTATTCATAATAAGCAATGCAAAAAATATGACAAGCTGAACTTATGATACAAGGACAGTGATTTAGTCAAACAAAATCAGTCTAATTTTACAGAAAGTTATCTTAACATTTTGGAAATGTGTACAAAAATAGCAAGCTATTTCCATGTATTTTCTTGTAGAGAATACCCAATTTTTTGGATGTTCTGAACACATCTGAATACGTACTGCTCTGTTTTCCCTATTATAATGCAAACCCATCATTTAATGTTCATTTTCACATTCTATACTGTAGGGTCATTCAAGAAATTTTGGAATATGGATCTAATGTTATTTTTATATTTTATCAATAGACATTTCTTATTCTTACATGTAAAAATGTAATTTCATATAGCAAGCAATGGAAGTCCAAACTACCAGGAATTGCTTGATAACACTATGTATGAAATAATTATCAAATTACTGAATCATTTGAGGAAAAAAATCTTGGCAGCAATATATAACATACTTTTCTGTAATCTTCCTTCCCTAATTCTAGAGTGGGTTTGAGTTCAATCATTCCAGTTCTTACTAATTTAAAAACCCTACAAATATAAAATTCCTTTTCATGGCAGTTTCTAAGAAGAATGTACTTGCACAGCTGATTCATGAGGGTCATCATTACTTTCTTTTTAGGAAACTAACCAGAAATAACAGTGATTACACTGCATGAATACATCTTGAGTTGACAGGAAAGTCCTAAAACTTATATTCACTTGTTGGGAAGTATGATCATTTTCAATCCAATCATATAAACAAAAACTTTGTTAGTAATAAAAGGTGGGCATGCACAGACTCAAAATCTGCCACATGTACGTTCTAAAACTTGATTTTATAGTAAAAATCTACTTGTTACTACCTCTACTAATTCATGTAAATGAAATGGAAAGTTTTAATAATTTTGATTTTTTCTTTTTTTCTTTTTTTTTTTTTTTTTTTTTAAATTTTGTTTTTTTTTTTTTTTTTTTTTTTTTTTTTTTGGTTAAGATCAAACCCAGCACCTTGTGCATGCTAGGCAAACACTCTACCACTGAGTTATATCTGAAGCTCCAAAATTTTGACTTTTAAGTATTCCCAAACACATACGCCCCCCAAAATGTACTGTATTATATTAACAGCAGCTATCTACTTATTTTACAGCTATTTCAATTATTTACCTGGGGAGATATTTATGAAATTCCTGAGAATGAAGTTTTCAGCAAAGCCTTAAACTTTTAACAGATCCTCACAATAAGAAAAAATTTTAAAGTTCTATTAGACCAACTTTTACTATACAATATTTCACATAAATCGTGTTTTATATTTTTTCTAATTACATACAGCAACAATCTCAAATCAACACAAGAATGGCAGAGAAAAAAGATGCATTATGTTTAGCAGATGCAAATTAAAACAGAAAGAAGCTAAAAAACTTCAAAAAAAAAAAATCACACCCACTCTTAAGTGTCAATAAATAGCTGATATGCACTGTTGGGAGAATCATTTCTAAATGATTGTGTGGACAAGTTGTGCTTTTGATTAATTGTGCACTTAAAAAAATGACCACTAAAGAATGATTTAACTTATCTGTTATGTTTCCCAGATATTTTAAAAACAATTATTATATCTTTAATGTGATTACCAAGCACCTAATTTTGAAAAGGCTTCATAATGGTTTTTTCCTTCAGCAAAAGCGTTAATCCCCTAAATTAAGTTAAAGCTTATTGTTGATAAAATAAATTCTTAATGGAAATGATGATACAATGAAATGCTGAGGTGGTCACAGTCCATTATAATGTGGACCCCATCTTTTATTGATGTGATCAAAAGTATGAGAAATCCACTGCTGTTCAAGAACTTTGTATCTTTCCTTACAAATGTAGAGAGGCTTGCCTCGCCTAGAATAAAAAGAGAAAAAATATTAAGGTAATATAATACAATGAATATTTCATATGCATTTCTTTTTAAATAGATCTTGTGTCACAGAAATAGCAAATTGTTCTATTTTATGTTTCTTCAATATGCTTATGGGTTAAATATCTCAGAAACTGGAAATTATTCTAATTAATGATCATCATAACTTATTACTTTAAAAAAATCATAAAGCCAGAAATGGCACACTCGTTTTTACTGACCAAACTTCGATAACACCCCTGGATGAATCTACGCAGATTCTACCTAAGATCCCGGTCTTCTTCTCCATGAGCATCCAGATACACGGAACCCCAGAGGCAGAAGCGGTGACCTCGAATAATGATAATCACTGATGCATTAATCAAAAGGAAAATCCCTGTTCCAGCACCACAGTTCTGAGAATGCTAAAAAATTTAAAATATATTAATTCATTTTATAATCAAATGGGCTTTATGACAAAATCAAGAACATATTAAATGCCTCCTAAATAAGAGATATTTAACATTCTAAAATAAGATTTCATCTATGTTAAATTTGCAAGCCTTTATTATTAATACATTAGGAAAAATTTGGAGAAGTGCTATCTAGAAGAGCAACTAAGAGCCAACCTAATTCAACAGCTAGCATCTCCAAAAGCATATACGACAGCAGCTTTAAAAGTATGTACCATTAAAATTAAAAGAAAAGAACTGGAATTGCATTTAAGAAAAGGTTTTACTTAAAATACAACCTTGAGTTAAAAACTTTTTTTTTCTTGTACTGGGTTAAAAAAAAACATACACACAATCTCTACATATAGTACTGGTATGTTTGATTCAAACATTTGTTAAATGTGAAGCTCTGATTTGACAATATATATCAAATTTCCGTAAGATCTGAATTTTTATAAATTTTGTACTATTTACTCTTGCTTACCAATACACATTCACAGTAACTTTGTTGCTTGCAGCAGAGTCCTTTCAAGCATACAAAAGTACCACAAACAAGGCAAACAGCAGGGTCTTTAGGAACCTTGGTGCAGACACTACAGGTTTTTCTGTGGTAGTACTGAAAAATGGTATTGTAATTCTCAGGCAACTGTAACAGGTGTGGTAACTTCCATCTTGACTCTTGGATAAGCAAGGCCTAAAACATCCAAAAACAGTCATTAGTGGGCCAGGGATTTGGCTCAGTGGCACTGTGCCTACCTCGCAAGTACAAGGTCCTGGGTTCAATTTCCAGTACACAGGGGGAAAAAAACAAAAATAGTCATTCATCCTATGTATTTAAGACACTAACACAAAATATTTAGTTTTAGAAAGGATTTTTCTTTTCTTTTTTGAGACAGGATGCCCAATTCCCGTTTCAGCTTTTCTAATAGCTGGGACTATAGGTATGTGTCACCATGCCAAGTTTAAAGACTTTTTTCTTTTTGGTACCAGGGATCAAACTCAGGTCCTTGTGCTTGCAAGGCAGGTGGCGAAACCACTGAGCTAAATTCCCAGCCCAAGGAATTTTTTTTTTAAAGGAAGGAAAATCTCCCTCTAAGAATATGACTTATTTTCTTAACATGCCTCTCATCTATTTTATACATAATAAAAACAGGACTTCAACAATTACCATTCTCTATTTTCACGTAATTTCAATCACAACAGATGTAGTATTTTATTTATTTTTTTGGTACTGGGGATCAAACTTGGGAACTTAGGCTTGTGAGGCAGGTGGTAGATATAGTATTTTAGATTAAATGCCCTATATAAACCTATTATAATTTTAAAAGAAAAACATTAATATTTCTAAACATGCATGGAAACATGAGTATACTTGTCTTTAAATAAGCCTTATGCAAAAGCTTTAAGTATTGTACATTTTTTAAAAGCCATATTTTAATCTTTCTCACACAAATGTTTCATTAGATTTATTTTCTTTATGAGAAAGTCATAGTAAGGCTATACTTTCAGGGATCATTTCTATAGTTGGTGACTAGAGAAAGTCATAGTTATAACTCATTATTTCTATTTTAATATTTTAGAGTTTCCTTTTTGGAAAGTAAAATTCATTATGCCTTCAGCTGTTAATAATGCTTGTATCCACAAGTGCTGGGGCTGCTATTTTTTAAGTAAATTTACTGCTTTAAGTATATATATAGCTAAGTCAGCTACATTTCCAAGCAGTGTACTTTATTTACCACTTGTACTGTAAGTAGTTTTATAAAAATAATGGAAACAGTATCAAATTATTTGTTACTAAACACCTAAAATAGATGAGATACAGTGTGAATCACTTAGACACTATATTAATAACAGGTAGCTTATACAGCCTCATTTCACCTCAACTGTACCAACCATCTCAGTTCAAATCATGAGCAAATAAGCAGGTAGCTTGTTGTTTGCTAATAAATTCATGGATAAGGTGGCCATGAAAACAAAGGTAAGGGCAATATGGGGGCTTATAATGTGCCACTTGTCAGGACTCCATGTCTACTCCTTGACCCCAGAGATGACATTCTGCTTTAGAGTCTATGAGGGCACCCATTCTGTAACAGGTTGATTACACTGGAACTCTTCTGAGGGTGGAAGAGACAGCAATTTTCCTCCATGAACTTGGCACCTATTATAGATTAGTTCTGTATTATCTCATGGTCTCTACCACAGTCTAATTAAAGAGTTTCCTTCATAAATTGTGACATAAAAAGCAGCAGATGCCTGTCCACAGAATTCTTTGATTCCAATATATACTCAAATATCTGAAAAATTACTAGTCTTCTAAATGATGTATTATTGAACTAATGAACTTTTAGATGGCACCAGCTGGGGGAAAAAACACCTACAGAATGAGGTATGTGCTTCTACATAATGAGGTATACACTCTAAGCAGCCTATATTTAGGTGATCTTCGTTGAGGCTGGAATGTATAGGCACATGAGCCAAGATGTGGAAAATAATTGTGTCACTTCAGAATTACATCTAAAAACTCGGTTTGAAATTTGTTTCACTGTTATACTGGACTCTTCTATAGTTTAGCTGTGTACAAGGGCCGGGGGTTTAGCTCAGTAGTTCTGTTGCCTGCCTCACAAGTGCAAGGACCCGAGTTCGATCCCCGGTGCCAAGACAAAAAAAGCTGTGTACTATCCTCTATCAGGGTATATAATAATAATTCCACTGAATTAGAATCTAAATGTCACCTGGCCATTACAAATTCCTCATACTAGTAGGAGAACAAATGGGGATAGCTTACAGCATGATCTGGAGGGACTGATACCGCTACTAAGAAGAATAAAAACATTACCATATAAATGGTAGCAGTATTTTGGAACTTAAGAACCCCAACTCCCTTCTGCCATATACCAAGCTTGAAAAATATAATATTTTTGCAAAAATTATTATAACTTTACAGGTGATTAGATAGCAATATGAGCTAATGAATGTGAGAACAGAGAGGCTGTTCAACATACAGGGACAGTATACAAGGAAAGATTAGGACTTCCTCCAAAGACAGTGACTGGTTATCAGTCCCATGCTGACACAGCCACTAAGAGCTGCTCCACCACTAAAAATAGGTTTGTTTAAGAAGGCATCTTCTGAGTATTCTCATAGGAGACTGCCTCAAGCAATTGAGATTTGAACCAAAGCCTCTTCAAAAGCAGAGTGGACTGCATTTAAATTTGATTCCATCTAAATGTTGCTAAGATATGAGAAGTCTCATTCACCTTTGTTTTGTACTTCTGTTACTGTGTTTTTTTTTTTTAATTTGTTTCTTTGTTTTTTGTTTTTTTGCTAGAAGTATCCACCATCCCAATCAAAGAATTACAGTACACAGCATCCCTAGAATCTATAAATGTGTTCCTGGTCCACTCTGTAATAGCTTAGCAGAATTACCATCACAACACATTTTACCCATTTACAATATTCAAAAAAGAGCTTGTATTTCTATAACAGGAAAAGAAGCATTATGTTTCATTGTGTGCAGGAGCATATTTCACTGGTTTGAAAGAGTATGATGCATACAGTTTTCTAGCAACTTTGTTTCTTTTTACAGCATTATCTTTGCTGTATTATTGCTGATGGCTGCTAGATTTTAATTTATTTGTTTCCCTACATAATAACATTAGTGATTCTGATTTCAGTTTTTCATTTGTTTTGCTTTTGCTTTTTTCCTCATGTAACATTGGTAAAGGATCCAGGAATATGACATAAGGGTGGAAAAAACATTAATTTTGTGCATTCTTTGGTTTTTTTATAACTACAAAGTTTCGCTACAAATTTATGCATTTCATTCAAATCAGTGATCTATGTGTGTGATTTCCTAAACATGACTGTAGATTATAAATATAACATCATAATTACATTCCTAACTAGAATTAGTGTGTCTGTTTTTGAATCTTTATGCTGTATTTTAATACTTTGTATTACTTAGGTTATTTTGCTTTGGTTAAAAATGGCTCAAGTAGAAAAGCAGTCCCATTCATATTAAGACAGTGTACAAAACTTTAAATATGTACAGTGAATTGTCTTTTTTTAAAAAAATAAGTTATTAGATAGGAAACAGATCTTTATATATAACAATGAGATTTAGTTAACTTGAATTTCCCTTTCTTGGCGGGGCGCTGCTGAGTGTATCATAAATGCAAAGTGCATGCTTTACCACTGAGCCACAATATCTTTGGATCCTTTACGTAAAAAAAGTATAAAATAAGAAGGCATCTCTAAAGCTTTCAGTTTTCTTAAAAAAAAAGAAAAGCAAAGCAGACATTCATTACTTATACCTATTTTTCCTTTATGACTCACTTAAATGTTTTAAAAGTAGTCTAACACCTATATCTGAAATACCAATTTTTAAATTGTTCCTCTGATGTTCAAAGTTAAATTTCTCATTCTCCCTGAAACTTGGCTCGCCTTTCATCAGTTCTATTTCTGCCAATGGTATCAGCCCACCACATAATGGTTCCCCAAGTATTTAATAGATGACTAGTCTCTTATCAGACACTTTCTAGGAATCAGGGATCCAAGATCAAATACGAAACAATTTCAGGGATGGGGATGTAGCTCAGTGGGAGAGTGCTTCAATCCCCAGTACCAGGAGATAAAATTTGCTCTGTGAAGCTACATTTACAAAGATTAAAAAACAATGTGATGAAGAGGGGCTGGGGGTGTAGCTCAGTGCTTAGCATGTATGAGGCTATATGTTTAACTTCAGGAAGGAAGGGTGGGGACAGGAGGGAGATGAAAAGAAAAAAGTATGATAAATATGGCAAGTGTTAGAGAAAGTGACAAAAGTACAGTTGAGATTAGAACTGTACAGGAGTTTAGACTATCAAACTAGTCTTTGCAGCAGAGTTAACAGCCTTAAAAAGTGATTAAAGTAACAGAAGAGCAGGAAGGTTGGTTTAGATAGAATGCTACAGAAGTTTAAAATGTATAACACACGCAGGAAACATTCTTTTGTGATTTGAGCAAGGCAACAGCAGAGGAATGGTATGAAGTGAGGATGGAAGAGCAAGATAGTGAAGGTCCTTGACTGTCATGAAAGGAGTCACCGTCTTCCTCAGTAAGTAATGGAGCACCATCAAGGTGTGTAAGCAGGAGCATGCTCTGATCAGAACTAGGACAGAGTAATCACTGTTCTCATTATTTAAGATCTTATAGTTGTGAGCTTCTGGTCACCAAAACCCATATGTTTTGTGTATTAGTTACTTTTTAACTTTTACTATCAGAAAATAGTTCAGGGATAGGGATTCAGCTCAGTGGTTCCACTGCCTGCCTTGCAAGCACAAGGTCCCAAGTTCGATCAGACTGTATTTACCAACCACCTAAACAATCTCTGGCTTCTGTCTCTCTCTCTCTAATTAAAAAACCATCAAAAATGATTTCCCTAAAATACTATTCTTATCATATCCCATTTCTCAAAAGCTGTAGTTCTACCTACAGAAGGAACTGTGTGCCAAACCAAGGTATTCAAAGCCACTCGTTGTCACCCCACCCTACTCTCAGTTCATTCATCTCCAAGACAAACTTTAGCAGCTGAGCTCACAACATAGGCCCAGCACATTTTAAAGACATGATCTTTTAGATTTGCTAGCCCAAATCTCCTTTTATAAAGTGAGACAATTCTTTCAAATAAGAATACAACTTACTTGCTTACTTTAAAATTCTTTTGTATCTTCCAAGCCTAATGTCATGATTATTTAAGGAATTCAATAAAAATATGCTGACTCAAAGCAAACTAAAAGTAAGAATACTTATGAAATATTTCCGCTTTATAGTCATAAGTAATTTTTATACAAGCAAACCATTTATTGATTGATTGATTGATTGATTGTGGTGCTGGGGAATCAAACCTAGGGCCTTGGGCATGCAAGGCAAGAGCTCTACCACTGAGCCACATCCTCAGCACCATCATTTTAAAAGCGTGACATAAAATTTGAATTTCTTCATGAGTCTTTTACCTATTAGCATATCACCATGGTGGCAAATGAATACCACTCTTTTTTAACATACCTTTCCTTGTTCTGCATGTCTTTCAGTAAATGATTTTATCTCAAAACACCACTGAGTTATAATATCAAATGCTGGAACTGGCCAATCCAGACAGGAGGCACTGATGAATGGATGTTCTGTTTGGTAAAATGTTGGCAGAAGTCCCAAGCAGCTGGCAAGAACTGAGAATTCTTCTTCTTCCTTTTAGACAAGAAATTGGAAATTCTCATGAAACTTCATCAAGAACATTTTCTAGACATATTTTAAGTGTTATCCTTCTCAATTACTCTAGGGCACTAAGAAAACTTTAATTGGTCAAATGAAATAAAGTAAAGGGAACAGAAGGAGTGAAAGAGAGAGAAAAGGGTTCCTAGCTGACATATCGAACTATAACCAAAATACTTTTTCAAATTTAATTCCTCTGTGTCATAGGATCTGCTTTTATACATTTATTATTTTATTTTATTTTTTGGTACCAGAGATTGAACTAAGGACCTTGTGCTTGCAAGGCAGGCACAGCACCACTGCTATGATAGGAATCTAAACAGACAACAAACTTCTAATGAAAGCCCCACTTTTCTCACTTAAATTGAGTAGATCCTCTTAAATGATCCAACAAGTCCCTCAGTTTGAATATATGAAAAGTATTTTCATTCCAAATCCTGGCTATTCTATCTCTGAAATCTCAAATCATTCCCTATCCTCTTTTATCCTTAGCATGTCCTTCTCCAAATTGTCTTTTCATTCACAATCCTTCAATTCCTCACAACCCAAAATCTGTCTTAAAGTACAATGAAGTTTTATCCTGAAAATTTGAATCACATCATATTTTTGTCCAAACTCTTCCAGTGGTCCAAACTCCCTCATGTTTAATTCAAGATCCACTACAATTTCATTTTAATCTCTCTCTGATTCTTTCTCTGACACTATTTTCATGCATTCGATACAGTGCGCTTCCTCCTTGCTACCCCCGCACAGGCATCGCTTTCAACATTCAGTCCATGAGCTTCTGCCTCAGGATATTTCCCAAATTATAGGGAAAAATATACTTTAATAAAGATAAATAACAAGCAAGAATGGAAAGAACCACAACCAATAGCCTTTAAATGGGAAGAAAGTAGAGTTAATAAAGGAAGTTGATTTCATTTGGGTAATCTTCATGCTTAAAGATGCTCATCTGCCTGAAGGAAATACACTTTTTGAAAGTTAAAATAATAATTAAAAAACCTGTGAAAGAAAGTATCTAATAAGAATATTTGTTCGCTATCTTAAGCACCTAAATAGAATGTTCTGGTGATAAATATGCAGTTTATTTTGAAGTACTTGATAAAACCAAAGAATCCAACTATATAATGAAATAGTCAATCATTTAGGACAAAGGAATTAAAACTGTTTAATTCTGATATACTTCAGGGTTCAAAGGCCATTAAGTATTGTAAATGTCCTAATTCCTAGAACTGAATGGATACAAGGCAAGCTCATATTGCATAAACACAGTTTAGGTTTACTTATCTTCTGATTTCTTACCACATTACTTTCTTGCTTATTCACAACCACAGTTCTGTGAAATAATTAAACCAGTAATAATTTATTCATACAAGTTTTAACACAATTAGCTACACATCAAATATTTTACTGTTACAAAAAAAATCATAAAGATGCTGTCACATTTTCAAACAACCGGTTTTCTGAACAATAAATTATTTAAAAGGATATTAAAAGCAAATGATGTTAGTAATAACATTATTATACTGAATATTATGATCTTATTCAAGCATTAGTCAAGAATTATCACTGATTTAACCCAAAACTGCTCAAATATTCAATACTGGTAGTACTACCATAAATGAGTGAATACTAACAACACAGAAATACTATTATAAATATTTGTTCCTTTGAGGTAGACTACCATTTGTCATTTATATGTATCAACATAATTATTAAACAATATATCAATAATTTTAAAAATTAGTTTATTGTAAACAAGGCTCCCTACTTTGTACTCCAAATTATACCTGGCAACTAGGTAAATCTTCCCCAAAAAGATGGTGCTGAAGAAGGCTGGTGATTCTAAGGAAAGGTAAGCAGAAGTCTTGTAAGTATTTTTCCATGGATTCAGGAGACCAAGCAACAGGACTAATCTAAAGTTAAAAAAGAAAATTGAACAATTCACTCTATAATAGATCTATTTTTAAAATTACATTATAAAGGCAATAAAAATTTACATTTGCTCAAAAATTTTTATATCTGATCTTAGTAAAAGCATACCATTGTACACTCTTGAGTCCCTTCTTCATGGTATAATTTTCCTTTAGATAGTTCGCTTACAACAAAGTTCAATAATACTTCATAAGACTTTTCAGCATCACATGTGTTCTGGAAAAAAATTAGGGTATTAGTTACATGGATCACTGAAAAATTACAAAAAAATTACATTGGAAATAATGTTTTTAAAAGAGTAAAATGGTTATATTATTTCAAGTATATGAGCCTGAATTCTTTGAAATCTGGGTAAAAGTATACAATTCTGTATTCATAGTGAAATTGTGTAGGTGGTCAAAGCTAGTACACAGGTCTTTAAACCATAAGCAAATTAACATATGTAAATCATGCCTTTAATTCATCCCAAGGAACTACTTTTTAAAGAGCCATATGTGCAAGACAGTCATTTTAACATGATAACCACAAAGAAAGTTAGAAAAGACAACAAAAATGAGGCAGCTAACTAAATTATGGAATATGAACTCAACAGAATATTTTTCATAGGCATTGAATATGACAAATTCGAACTACATGGAAAATGTTTATAATGTGATCTAAAAGAATGTATGTATTTTTTACAGTGGTGCAAATTACATATGCATATAAGAAAATCTATATGAATAACAAAAAGTTTTTTTTACTTTGCAACTTCCTTCAATTTCCTTGAAAGAGTATTTGTTAAAAATAATATACTATATGGGTCAGGGATTTAGCTCAGTGGTTCTGGTACCTGCTTTGCAAGCGCAGGGACCTGAGTTCGATCCCTGGTATCAAAAAAGAAACCAAAAAAACAAAAACAAATAATAATATACTATGAAAATAAATTAGGACTATATGTATTACAGAATATACAGATAATTACATTAAATTATGGATTGTAACACAAGCTTACTACTTGGTTTTCAATAAAATCTTTACACATAAAGAAATACACCTCATTTGATATTCAGTGAAATATTACAGTATAATATACAAAGTAAAATAGGATAAAGTAATAACTTTGTTATGATGTCATTTACTAAACTTATTTTTTTTCCTCATTGAGTTTATTGGTACATTTTAGGTATACAATAGTTACATCCATTATTGGGATCTTGTACCTTTACATGACAGGTCTTGGTTTTCCTTTTTTCCCCTTGTCCCTGCCCTCCCTTTAGCCCATTTACTAAACTTATTAACTATACTTCTGTGTGTGTGTGCAGACAGGATCTGGCCTTGTAGTTCAGGCTGGCCTTGAGCTCACTATGTAGCCCAGGCTGGCCTCAAATTCAGTGTTCCTCCTGCCTAAGCCTCCAAGAGCTGGGCACGTGCCACTATGACCATTTTAACTATATACATATACATACACACACACACACACACACACACACACACACACACACACACTCACATAAAGAATTGAGTAAACACCACTGAATACAAGTTCATCCTAAACTTTTATGACACTAATAATCTAGACCACATAATTGGTTATCTGATGATACTCGGTCTTTCTATAGTTCATTATTGCTTCATCCGTGTTATTATATTCTTTTTAACTTGACTGTAAATTTCCAAATGTCAGAAATTATGCTATCTTCCACATATTCCTCTTCATACAAAAAAATCTAAGCAATAAAGGCCTGCTGACTAACGGATGGAATTTATTTTGATAATATCAAAGCTTTTGACTTTGGTACTTTATTGGGTATGTCCTTTTTGATAAATAATTACTTATATAATTTTAAATTACTCCTCTACTTTCTGCTATATTCACTCAGCAGTGGTGTTATGCCCTGATTGTAAACTATAAAAATGTCCCTAACCATTGCTACTGCTCTCCTTAAGCCATGTATTTCACTCCATGCTTGTCTACTTAACAAGATGATCACTTGCTAAATATGAAGACCTATGAGTTACATATATTCGACAAGAATCAATACCCTACTCATACAAAAATAGCAACATGTTATATTTTTAAAAAAAGATTTAATCAAGTAACTTAAGCAGAGTTCAGCTAAACTCAAAATGCAGAAAAATTTTTTAAAAAGAACCATTGATTTATTATTTATTAATAAATGTTACACATTTAAGAGTCTCAAATATACAATATAGCTAAAGTTTCTCTAAATTTAGGATATTCTTTTGAGTTAAAGATTTATAGAATATAGCAACATAAAAGTATTTCAAAGAACATGGCTTTGTGTTCAGGACACTCACGTAATTTACTGAGTGATAACTAGCTTTTAAATCTATCAAATACATTTTAAGCAATTATTGTACATATGACAAGCAACAGACAAGTGGATAAAGAAAATGTATTTATACATAATGGACTACTACTCTGCCATAAAGAAGGATAAATTGCATTTGTAGAAAATGATTGCACCTGAGACCATAATGTTATGTGAAATAAATCAGATACACAAGCTTACATATCATATGGTTTCTTTTATATGAGAAGCCCAATATATAAATAAAGAGAAAAATAAAAGATTGATTAAAAAGAAATAGGGATGGGGGCCAGGGATTTAGCTCAGTGGTTTGGTGGCCTGCCTTGCAAGCACAAGGACCCAAGTTCAATCCCCGGTACCAAACAAACAAAAAGAAATAGGGAGGTAGATCTTTCTCAAATGGGAAAGGATCAAGAGATAGAAACAGGGAAGCAAAAGGGGAAGGGAAGAAAAAAAAAGAACTGAGATGTGGGGCTGGGGGTTTGGCTCAGTGGTTCTGCCGCCTGCCTTGCAAGGGCCCAAGTCAGATCCCCAGTAACAAAGGAAAAAAAAAAAAGAAAGAAAGAATTGAGATGGGTTATGTACATATACCAACTCCCCATGAAGAACGTGATCATTATGTACTGCAGACATAAACAAATTAGAGTGCTTTTCAAACTATGGGGGAACAGGCCCTTTTAGTATATTCTGGATACTACTATCTCTCCTCCAACAAACAAAACCCACCTAAGGACACCAGATTAAGAAATTCTGGTATCAAGACTCAGCAGAAATACTACAGACTAAAAGAATGCAACTTACATTTGACTGATAATGATTTTTCCAGCAGAACTAACCTCATTTCAAATTAATTCTAATATCCTTTCAAAAAAATACATGGCACCTGTATTTTTATTGCTCTGAGATTAAATCTGGCAAGTACATTTCCCTAGAATTACCATACCTAAACATAATGAATTACGGAGATGGAATGATAGAGTAAGATTCACTAAAGAAAGGTACAGAAGAAGGGAAAGGGGATTTTTAAAAAAGTAAATAATAAGAAAATGAAAGTAAAGGAGAAATCAATTGTGTAAAAGTCTAAGTACTTATCAAAGCCACAATGATATATTTTATTAATCATAAATACACCTATTGCTATTCATCATTATGTATCTAAATGTTTAGATTTACTGTAGAAAAAGGTAATAACATGATAAACCATCCATAATTTTTTTTTTTTTTTGGTACCACAGATCAAACTTGAGACCTTACTCTTGCAAGTCAGGCAGTGGAACCACTGAGCTAAATCCCTGGCCCAATTCATCGTAATTTTTGTTCGTATTCACTAAAGTAATTTATACAGTTTTAGGCTGATATAATTGTAATTTATGTTCTGATAAGAACATGGCTCATAGTATGCTATTACATGTTTCTAAAAGCAGCTATCAACTAGGAATTTGAGAAAGAAAACTGACATGTTACCTAAATTAGATTACATCATGTTCCTTTCATCACAATTCTACAATTGTTTAATTCTATCAAGTTCTCATTTTAGCATATCCTTAAATGAATATATTTAGAACCAAATTATATCAGCAAATTTTAAGTGTATAATTTTTCATGACAGCATACTAATAAAACATTTAAACAATGACACAAATTAAAATCCAAGTGGATTAAAGATCTAAATACTAAAACAGAAACACTAAACTTGCTGGAAGATAAGTTAGGCAGAACTCTTGAAGACATTTGGCATTGGAAAAGACTTTATGAACAAATCCTCAGTAGCACGGGAACTAGCAGAAAGAATCAACAACTGGGATCTCATCTTATTAAAAATCTTCTGCACTGCAAAAGAAACCATCAACTAAGAGACAACCTACAATGTGGGAAAAAATTTTTACCAGCTGCTCCTCAGACAAAGGACTATTATCTAGAATATATAAAGAACTCAAAACAATTAGTCCCCCCAAATATAAAGATCTGAATCAAAAATGGGTACCTGAAATGAACAGTCATTTCTCAGACAAAGAAGTAAAAGCAGCAAGTAAATATGTGAAAAAATGTTCCACATCACTGGTCATTCGAGAGATGCAGATGAAACAACACTGAGATTCCACTTCACCCCACAAAGAATGGCTGCTATCAAGAAATCAACCAATAGCAAATGTTGGTGGGGTTGTGGGGAGAAAAGAACTCTTTTCCATTGTTGGTGGGAGTGCAGACTGGGACAACCACTATGGAAATCAATATGGAGATACCTCAAAGAGCTGGGACTACAGGTTCCATTGGACCCAGCCATCCCTCTGTTGGGTATCTTTCCAAAAGAATTAAAAGAATCATACCACAGTGATATATGCACTGCTATGTTTATAGCAGCACAGTCTGTAATAGCTAAAATGTGGAAACAGCCCATTTGCCCATCAGCTGGAGACTGGATAAAGAAGATGTGTTTTTTTTTTATAAAATGGAATACTGCTCAGCCATAAAGAATGAGAAATTAGATTCATAGGACAATGGATACATATTCAGGATATACTCCTAAGTGAAATAAATAAGTCACACATGTGTAAATACCGAATAGTTTCTCTGGTGTGAATAAACTGTAATAGTACATAAGATCCTAATGAGATAACTGACATTGTGAAATGGGAAGAAAAGGGCTAAAGGTGTAGGGAAAGTGGGAAGGGTAGGGGAAAGGAAATAAGGGAAAAAAATATGAGAAAATGAAAAAAATGGAAATAAAGTATTTGTAAATGGTGAGGAGATGGAGGGGGTGAAGGGAGGGCAGGGACAAGGGGAAAAAATGAGAACCAAGACCACCTGTCATATAAAGGTACAAGATCCCAATAATGAATGTAACTGTATTGTATACCTAAAATGTACCCCCCCAAAAAAGTGACACAATATAAAAATACAATGTACTTTATTATAATTCTATTTGAATACTAATAATCCAAATATCAGATTAGATAGCATTCAGAAAAAAATTTAAAATCATAAAAAAATAAAGTTAACTACAGAAGGCAAAATTATCCAAGAATCAGCTAAGGACAAGGGGGAAAAAAAAATAGCTAGAACTTTTAAATTTACAAGTGATGAAGGCTTAGTGTTAGAGTGCCTACCAGTATGCACACAGCCCTGGGTTCAATTCCCAGTATAAAAAAAATGTTGAATCAAAAAGCCACCTTTGGATGGTGACTGGGGATAGAGACAAAAAAGAAAAAAATGACTGAAAAATGAAATAGGTAAACCTACAGGCATTTCATCACTATAGTCACTGAAATGACACAATGTTTATAACTTCTCTAAGGATAAGGCTTGCAGTGAAAAGAAACTGCTCAAATTTAAAGAGATAAATGCCAAATTTTTAGAAACAGATGCAGAAGGCCTAATTATGCAAAGAAACGTATTTAATTTTTTTTAGCCAAATAAATGGTGTTGGAAAAACTGGATTTCAACCTGCCTAAGATCAATTTCCAATTAAAATACCATAAACTCATTTTGCCTTTAAACACCGACTCTCATTCAATCATATCCTCAATTTAAATGTGTTCCCCAAGCCACTAAATGACAAACTCAGAAAAGAGACTAACCTTTTTCCGAGTTCCCACATGTTTCCAGGTTGATCTGTCTTCCTCACTGCATTTAACTGAAAGTGCTGCAAGAGCCTGAGTGTACAGTAGGGTAAAAAGCACCTTCACAATGCAGGTGAAGTGTTCTACAAGAGAAAAAGAACATCATTATTTCCTTAGAATACAGACATATTGTACACAAGATAATTTCACAAATATATGCCTTTCCTCGCACATGTAATTTGCTTTTGTTCAACACTTAGTTAATAAATTAAAAATATGTTATATTTGCTTCCCAGTGGATCTGAAATTATGAAAGCAAAGTTCTATCCATCCACAGAATGTAAATTAAAGGCACTTAGCAGAGCAAAAAGTGTGTCTCTTTCAAAAGACTGAAGTTCAAGCTCTTGTGAAACATTGGCAAATACTCTCACTGGTTGCAGGTCAACATTTGAGAGTTTGTGTTAAAACCAACATAACACTGACCTTTAATATGAGAAAGATCTTAGCAAGAACAGTATACTATAAAAAACATAATATAGATCTTACAAAGTTAAAGAAAGAAATCCTAGTATTATTACTAATTGAGTTTCAGAATTCAGTCAAAATTACAGCAATACAAAACAGTAATAATAATAATAAAGTGGCTGGCACTTCTGGAACATATTAAGTACTTAATAAATGTGAGCTTCATGACTATAATTAAATTTTATATTTATTTAATAACTTAAAATCTTTCTCAAATGTCTCACTCAATCCTCACAACAGTCTCAACTGGACAACTGAGTTTCAGAAAGGTGTGCTTGTGATAGCAAAGCAAATAAGCATTCAGGATTCTAAACTTGAATCCATTTGATTTTTCTTCAGATTCAGTATTCTTTCTATTATATTATCCCACTCTCCCAGGAAATGGGTATTTTCATTTAATCAGTTGCTGGAGTAAGAAATGTATAAATGTTCTTGATACATTTCTGTCTCTTTCTTTCTACATGAAAATAATCACCCAGTTGTATCAATTCTACTTTTTAAATATCTCTCATATCAGTCCCAACAACCTAGACCAGACTACTTTCGTTTTTTTGTCTAGAACTATAATCCCAGACTACTTGGGTCTCCATGACCACTTTCAGGTTTGATGATTCACTAGAATTCATAAGACTCAGTATAAAGCCATTCTAAAAACTATGATTTATGACATCAAAAGGATACAAGTTAAAATCAGCAAAGGGAAATGGGACATTGGGTGAAATCCAGAAGAAATTTTCAGAGTCCACTTTCCTAGTAGAAGCTCAGGTGAAATGTATACCAGGAATCTCAGCCAATGCCCAGGCGCAGGTTTTTCAAGCACTCTCTGTCTAGCACATAAAACAATTCTAGACTTCCAGGCAGAAAAAAAAAAGTATGTTCAGTACAAAGCACATTGTTTGTACAAACAGATTAGGATAGTGATTCTCACTAGTTTTAAAAATGGCAGATCCTCTTCCAAAATCCAAGTCCCCTGAAGCCAGCTTTAGTACAACCTCGCAAGTAGGCTTTCTTTATTGAAATTGTTTTCTGCAGAGTTAATTATCTGTTTCACTTTTTAGACACCTGCAAGCTACTTTCTTTATTACAGCCAGACTAATCTTCCCCCACCTCCAGCTTTGCTAAGGAATAACCGACAAAAACTGTATATATTCAAAGTATACCTGATATTTTGATATAAGTATATATTAAAAATGATTGCTACAATCAAGCTAATTAATATATCCATTGCCTCACATAATTATCTTTGCGTGTGCAGTGAGAATGCTTAAGATCAACTCAGCAAATTCCAAGGATACAACACTACATTATTAAAAAGTCTGTATACTTCATTTAGTAAAAGTACAATCTATAACTTATTCATATTCTACTGAAAGTTGTGCCTTTGACCACCAATATCTCTGTATTAACCCTAACTGGAACAAGGGCTTGACTGTCAAATCAAACCAACAGAAACTGAGTAAACCATTATAAATAGCATACAGAAATCTTACAATTAAGTGATTTCATCACTATAAAAGTAACAAATCTATATGTTATTCAGCTAATGTATATATATATATATATATGCACACACACATATATTTTTTTTTTGGAGGGACACCAGGGATTGAACTTAAATCCTTGCACTTGTGAGGTAGGCAGCAGAACCACTGAGCTAAATCCCTGGCCCAGGAGGGTATTCACTTTTGAATTTGTGTTGAGTTTTCCAAGGAATGAGCAGTCTCCTGGAGAAAAAGTTATTAAACACATTCATTTATTTACTTGCTTGTCTACAGGTACCATGCTTAGTACAGCTGACAAATAAGAATAGAAATATGATAGCCGGGCGTGGTGGCTCATGCCTGTAATCCCAGCACTCAGGAGGCAGAGGCAGGAGGACTGCTGCGAGTTTGAGGCCAGCCTGAACTATAAAGTGAGACCCTGTCTCAAAAAACAAAAAACAAACAAAAAACGAATACAAATATGATTCAGATGTTTCTATAAGTTCTTTTGCCAAAAATTGCTTTAGAGTTAAAATAACACAAAACATTGAAAATTTCTTCTAGGACAAGATAAGAGTACAAGTTAAAATGATAAAACCCCTAGGCAAAAAAGTATGTAAGAAATAGGTAATAGATATTTTATTCTTTTCCAAAAATTACCATGAAATTTTGAATATACTATTCCAATGTCACCAAAGAGTATTTTGCATATACTACATGCAAACATCAAATCTTTTTAGTTTCCTTTTTAGGACCTAGAGTTCCTAACTTACATGTGTTCTCAACCTCTCCAAGAATTCTGATCTACACTAAAAATTAAGTTTGTTATGTGTTTTTCTGTGTGATAAGCTGCAGTCCTTTTTCTCTTTGATGAGTAAAGAGCCCAAACAGCTTAATGAGATTTTAATTGCCTTAATCAAAATAGAACCAACAAAAGATTCCAAGTTCCTCTAACAACTAGTAAGGTAGTTAATGCTGTGCCCTTGGGTATACTTCAAATAATTGAATTTTGTTTCTAATAAACTGCCAACATTCTCAAAGAACATAATAAAGAAGTGATCACAATATAAGATCTAAAGATTCAAATAAAAATCATAGTTTTCTTGAATCTCAAATTGGAAAATAAGCGATTTAGCAGAAAGTAAGACGACTGAATTTTTAATACATCCATTCCATTCTGCAAATGTTTACTGAGGGTTTTATGAAGATGGCTCCGGTCCTGGAGGATCTGAGCATCTATAGAGGAAAAAACTGAAGAACATCTATTATGACAAAAAGACAAGGGTCAGAAGTAGGGGCAAATTATAACAGGAAAGAGAACAAAGGATACTAAGAGAAAGGATTCCAGGAGAAGGCATCACTTACAGTAACAGATCACAAGAAGTTATTAAGTGAAGAATGGAGAAAGGCAAATTTGTAAACACGTTCACAACTCTTCTATCTTGAAAACAATAAGCAATTCCTTTGAACTACCTTCACATATATGTTGTTTATTGCCCCATTAACTCCTAACAATTCTCTCTGCACACTATCTGATTCCTCATCCTACTATAATCTGCTGATTCTGCAGCTGCAAATGCAATCTCCTTACTGCTCTCCCTACTCTAGAACTATTTGCCTATGGCCAAGAGTTCTCTGGAGAATATATAATTAGCTTTCTAGGGATCAAGATCCTTTTGAAAATGTGGTAAGAGCTATGCAGCTATTCAGAAAAAAGTATATACAGAGAGATAAAAATATATAGTTAATGATTAAAATTTTAAAAATTTATTACAGTAAAAGACACATTGGTATTAATCTCCCTCAAAAAAATCTTTACATTTTATATATCTATCTATATATATATGTATATGTATGTGTGTATATATATATGAAGAATATATACATAAGGTGATATATGATGTCTTGGATTTGCTTCAAAATCACCAAGGGATGGGGCTGGAGATTTAGCTCAGTGGTTCCACCGCCTGCCTCCCAAGCATAAGGTCCCGAGTTCCCAGTACCAAAAAAATAAAAAAATCAAATAAAAATAAAAAAATCACCAAGGGATGGAAGGAAGAGGGTATAGGTTAGTGGTGGTGAATCTTTTAGAGATGAATACCTAAACTGCAATCCAAAATCCCCTTATTTATTGCAAAGTGACAACACTTCAATTAAACCTAAATACTAGAGGGGTATGGAAGCGCACTCCCATAATCCCAGCACATGGGAGTCTGAGGCAGGAGAACTGCTGTGAATTCGAGGCCAGCCTCAATCTCTGCGAGTTCAAGACTGGCCTGAGCTACATAGTGAGACTGTTTCAAAAAAACCTAAATACTGAGGTTTTAATTTAAAAACAAAAATTCATACATTAACATCTCATCTTAAAATAACAAACAATGTGCATGCCATAGGTTCACCACCACTGGGTTAAGGCATAACTAAAACAAGACTAGCCATTTAATTGGTAGGACACAGGCATTCATTAAACTCTGCTTTTTACTTTATTTATGATGGATAAGATTCAAGGACACAAAAAAGATCAAAGAAAAACAAACCTTTGTGTTTAATATATTTAGCTTGAGCTTCTGATGAGACAATTGCTGGAAAAGGGTCTTTTAACCTAAAAACTGCTTAAAAAGTTTAAGAGGTATCCAGGTTTCTGCATCCACCTATTTTCAGATAAAACTGTGTGAACCATTTAATAGTATAATATATAGAAACAGTAAAACTTTCCTCCCTCTCCTTTTCTAACCACCAGTGACTACACAGTTACACAAATACATATTTCTACAATAAAAACACAAAATAAATAAGTCACACATGTGTAAATACTGAATAGTTTCTCTGGTGTGAATAAACTAATAGTACATAAGATCCTTATGGTATAATTGTCAATGTGAAATAGGAAGAAAAGGGCTAAAGGTGTAGGGGAAGTGGGAAGGACAGGGGAAAGGAAATAAGGGAAAAGAAAAAAATATGAGAAAATGAAAAAATGAGAATAAAGTGTTTGTAAATGGGGAGGAGGGGCTGAAGGGAGGGCAGGGACAAGGGGGAAAAATGAGAACCAAGACCTGTCATGTAAAGGTACAAGATCCCAATAATGAATGTAACTGTACTTTATACCTAAAATGTACCAATAAACTAAAAAAAAAAAAAAAAAAAAAAAAAAAAAAAAAAAAAACCCCACAAAACATGACCCTCAGCACTGTAAAACAAAGACAAAAAATGAAATACTACAGACACAACAAAAACTACCAATGGTTAACTACTGTATTTCATCAATTATACAAACTTAAAATTTGTATTAACAAGTCTAATATTTATAATTCCTCACATTTCAAAAAGCTGAGGAAAATTAAAGTTACTTAATTAAGCTCTGAACTTCCTAAGAGTTTAAGTATAGGTCTGATATGGCTTGTGTTTAGATGTCCCCCAAAGCCTCACACAAATGAAATGAAGATTTTTTGCAGGTGGCTGGATCTAGAGTGTGCAATGCTGGAATGTGATCCATGGTGCAATGTTAGACTCAAGGGCAGTAGTTTTAATAGTGAGTGTACCTGTCCTAAGTAGTTTGGATAAGATAAAAGAGTCAGGAATACACTGTTAAGGTCCCTTGTTGCTTTTGCTGTCTTCCACTGCCATGAACTGTTGCCCCTCTGCCATGTGCCAGATTGCCTTGGAGCTAGCCGATTATGGACTGAAACTGTGAGCTAAATAAACCTTTCCCTCTTTAACTTTGGGTGTCAGGTATTTTTGTCTCAGCAACAAGAAAAGTGACTAAGAAAGGTCTTTACTATTCGGTGTGTAAAGGCAAGAAACAAAAATAGATTGCCGATGGGGGGAGGCTAGCCCCAAATTCTAAGAGGAATTCATCATTATAATGACATGAACAACATACTGTACAATGTGACAGCAATCTTTGTTTTGTTTTTGACACAGAGTCTCACTATGTAGTTCAGGCAGGACTTCAACTCACTATGTATCCCAGGCTGGCCTCAAACTTGTGATCATCCTCCTTCAGCCTCCCGAGTGCTGACTCCAGGTGTGCACTGCTGTGCCCACTAGCAGTTTTATAAAAATAGTACAGTGTTGTGGTTTGGATCTAAATGTCCTCCAAAGGCCTATGTGTGAAAGGTTTGTTTACTGGTGTAGCCCTGTTGCGGGGGTAGCAGAACCTTTAGGAGGCAGGGCTTTGTGGGAGGAAGTAACTAAGAAAGGTCACTGGGGACTGCCTGTGAAGCAGATGTTACTACCTTGGCCCCTTCTTTTCTCTCAGCTTCCAGACCACCATGAAGTAAGCAGTTTCCTCTGCCACACACCTCAGCCACAATGACCAAAGCTTCTGAAACCACGAGCCAAATAAATCTTAACTATCTCAGTGATGGAAAGCTGGCTGACATACAGATAATCCAGAATTATTGTGAAATTTTAGAAATAAAGCAATGCACAGGTTTTTAGTACATGTGCTGCCAAAGCAGGCACAATGAAGAGATTTTTAAAATAATTCTAACCACAGATAAATTAGCAACTGCTAAATACTTAGCTATCTGGTTCTCTAAGGGCAAAGTCCATGTTTTATTCATCTTTGTATCTCCAGCATATGGTAAAGAAGCATATCGACCTGGGGCATCATGGGTACTCATTAAATATTTCTTGAACCAGGCAATGACTCTCACAACTAAGAACTAAATAAACATTACTAAATATTTAAAAACCACATTTTAAATGATACTACTTTAAGGCACATTTATTAGCAACATTACAAAATTTTACATAAATGTTTTCTTCAATTCCATTTATTTCTTATTAAATTAAGCATATCAATTTTTTTTTAGTCACTTTAGAACACAATTTTAGGAACTGTTTCTACTGAATTAAATTCTGTAAGTTCTAATAATTCAGTGCATTACATTCCCCTTTCAGCATTACCTTCACCTTTTGTCAAAAGCTAGTAGCACTAGCTCCATCTGACAGGGCTACACCAGCTAGAGCAGCCCTTTGACTCTCACATAACAGGTCCTTTACCTATAAATGTTTTCTCTTTTGACTAAATATTGATTATGAAAATAAGAATTCTTTCAATAGTTTCTTCCCTTTTAGTTTCCCAGTTATGCAATAATTATGCTTATAAAAAGTATATTGAAATAAAATATTTAAATATTTTGAAGATACAAAACAAAATAACTTTTTATATTTCAAAATAGGACTAGTATAATTAAAAGAACACAATTAAGAGTAAACCAGTATGACACTCAGGCCAACAGTTTCCTCAAACTAAGGAATACTAACCAAAGTAACACACACATACACACACAAAAAAAAAACCTAAAGAATTTGAAACTAATTTTGCAAAGAGATTAATTTCAATGGGGTTGTTTGACAGATACAGATTTTAAAATTCTACAAATATGAATAATTAAATCTGTATACTCAGGCAAAGCCAAAAGGTAGTAATTCAAAAATTGAAAAAGAAGTAATATTAAAAAGTATTTGAATGCTAGACGAAGGAAGAAATGTAGAGCAGCTGCTGCATGGGGTAGTTTCTTTGAAGTTGAGAAAATGTCCTGGAACTAGATAACGGTGATGGTTGCACACTATTGTGAATGTACTAAACACCACTGCAATTGTACACCTTAAAATTGTCTAGATTGTAAAGTTTATGTTGTATCACCATACAGTTAAAAAACATGCTTACTAATGACATTACTTTACTCTATAGATTATAATTTACATGAAATATCATAATTTTTCTATATTTAAATGATCATTTCAGACCATTAGGTAATTTTTTTTTTCTGTTACCAGGGATCGAACTCGGGTCCTTGCACTTATGAAGCAGGTGCCAGAAACAGCTAAGCCCCCCAGCCCTCATTATGTAAATGTTTTATCAAATGATCAAGCTGAAGTACAAAGAATGTCTTCCCCAGGAACAATGCCTTTATACGTCCACAGATGTTTATTCTACTGTAAACTTATAATAGAAAAACAAGTTTTCCAATAATAAAAAATATTATCTGATAGAATATTTTAAATGGCTCCAAAAGAAGACTTTAGAACAATTAAAAATTTTGCTAATAATACTTTTAATGTTACAATTTTAATACACTTAAAATTAGAGGGCATCACATTTTTAATAGACTTATAAGTAGTACTATACTGAAAAATGTATACATTTAGATAGGGTGAAGTCATTAATGCTGACAGTTTGTTCTACTGTTCAAATTTTCATTTGTATTATCATTTCAATTCTTTTAACACAAAGGTTTTCAATTGTCTTTCCCATGTTATCAGTTCTTGTTAACTAAAAGCTGAAAAGATTAGGGCTGGGGATTTTGCTCAGTGATGCCCATGCCTGCCTGGTAAGCACAAGGTCCTGAGTTTGATCCCCAGTACCAAAAACAAAATAAAAGTCATTAAATATTCTTGGACTGGGGATTTAGCTCAGTGGTGCTGCCACCTGCCTCACAAGTGTAAGGTCCAAAGTTCGATCCCCAGTACCAAAAAAGAAGTTTTGTTTTGTTTTGTTTTTAAATAAAGTTTTTGGGGGGCTGGGGATTTAGCTCAGCGGTTCGGTGGCCTGCCTTGCAAGTGCAAGGAGCTGAGTTCAATCCCCAGTACAAAAAAAAGTTTTTTTTAAAGTACTTTATTTGACTGCCATCTTCTTGGCTATGATTATCATATATTAATAGAAAAAAAGCTATTTTCCACAAAAAGAAAATCTCATCAAACTGAATGTTGTACCGGTTCCTACAATCTCTAGACTAGTTATAATATCTAGTACCTAATCTAAGTACCTGAGTTATAAAGCCATACCTTTGTGTAAGGGTTGTGGCATCATTAAGATCTGGATAAGTAAAAGAGATGTTACATCATGATAAAGAATCGGAACTTCAGGCTGATGTTCTTCATTTCCCAACCTAAAAGAACAATACATAATCACTTTAGATAATAATGTGCAAGTTTTCTAATTCATTTTATATCTCACATATATGTCTATGAAACAGAAATTCATCATGAAAAATAAATCTGAAAAAAAGTTGGAGGTCAAATTTGTGGCCAAAGAATATAATTTTTAGACTCATATGTTTCCTTTTTCTAAATTGAAAATCTTACACAGAAACCTTATTGTCTTACCAAAATAAACAGGTAGGATATGTTAACATGATTATGTGTCCTTCTGATCTTGTAAATTACAGAAAGTAAATGAAGCATTAAATGGAATATAAGAATTAATTTCACTATAAATAGGCTCACAGGACACTATCACAAACTAAGCACTAAAAAATAAAAAAGTTCATGCTATATAAACAGGTATAGTCCACAAATCAAGTCACAGTGAAAAGTCTGGTTAACACCAGCTATTAAAAAGATGTTTCTACTTATGGCTAACATAAAATTCAATTGAAGTCTCTTATATATGCAAAGTTTTGATAAAAAGGGTAAATATAACCAAGGCAGAATTTAAAAGAAAAAGTAGATAACCTTAGGAATGAATAGTAGTATTAAAAAACAGAATATATTATAATTAAGTAGAGTTTATCTTAAAATTGTTTTTAAAAAGCATTTATATGGTTAATTTTTTTCTGTGCTAGAAATTCAATCACAGTGTCTCACATGTAAGGCAAGTGTGAGCACCCCTAGCCCTAGAAGATCATATGTTTTCAGCAGGCATAATTTTTAATGTCAGACAACAAAAGCAAATGTTAAACTTCCAGAATTCACTAAATTTGTATGATACACTTCCGATTAGAGATGGGATGAGCAAAAACTATTCAATTCTTTTATCAGGCTCTGTCATTTAACAAATATTTGTGGAACACTGACAATATACCAGTCAATGGACATGTTAGTGAATAAATCAATCCTTGCTGCTATAAAACTAATAACTGCCAAATATTCTCCAAATATCTCTTAGCATACTGTTATTTGTCTTCCTCTCCGAGGCTATGAATCCTACTCTACTATTGTCTCTCCAGTCTAAGCTTATCTCCTCTTTACAAGTCCAAAGTTCTGAAAAGAAAGTAGAGAAAATTTTTTTTAAAAAGGCGGGGGGAATGGGGGAAGAAAGGAAAGAAATAGGAAGGCAAAGAAAGAAAAGAAAAAGAAAGGGGGAAGGAAGAAAGAGAGGGAAGGAAAAAAAGAAGGGAGAAAAGAAGAAGGGAGACAGAGAAGGGGGAAAAAGAAAAGAAGGAAGAAGAAATTAGAGAGGCACCATTTCTATTATTCAAATCTCCCAAACAATTAGTTTACCATATGATCAACAATTATTTCTTACTTTAGGGAATATTTTAAATCCTTATCTTACTGACCCTTACCTTCATTTTAGATACAGTTCAACAGGGTTGACTGGAAAATTCTCTTGGCTTTTGTGAAACTCTCCCCAAGTTCCTTTCTAGCTCTCTCTGATTAGTCTTCTTCACAGCTTCTTCCTCTGAACAACCTAGAAACACTGTTGTTCCTTAAGGCTCTATTGCGCCCTATCTTTTCATACTAAGGACACTTTCTGAAAGACCACAAATATACTAGTGCTTAGTTTTAATAAGTGGGAAATAAAATTGCTTTAAAATTAGCTGGCTACTTGCAAATAAAAACTTTATATTCAGGTGAAAATAAATTTCAAGTACTTTAGAAAAAATCACCCCATAAGAAAACTCTAAGAAGAAAATATAAGTAGAGGTTAAAAATCTTAAGACTGGGAACACACTGTAATATTGGTTATAAAAAAATCAGACCCTAGAAAGGATGAGTATTGAGTATCCTACATGTGATAGTAAGAGAAAACAAATATAAGGCCTGATTAACTTGAGTGCATAAGAGTTTACAATTTTTTTTTTTTTTTTTTTTTGGTACCAGGGATCATACTCGTGACCTTGCGCTTGCAAGGCAAGTGCAGTGCTACTGAGCTAATTCCCCAGACCAAAATTTTTGAACTTTAATATGTCAAGAAAAGTGATTATAGAGCCGGGTGTGGTGGCGCATGCCTGTAATCTCAGCACTTGGGAGGCTGAGGCAGGAGGATCGCTGTGAGTTCAAGACCAGCCTGGGCTACATAGTAAGTTCCAGGTCAGTCTCAACTACATAGTGAGACCCTGTCTCAAAAAACCAAAAACAAAGTGATTATAAAGTTAAAGGGCAAACATGTTTTGGGGAAAGATTTTCAGCAACTATGACATAAAATTCAATACAATATTTCATACCATAGAAATTATTCAGGTAACTTTAAAAAGTTAGATGCCAACAGAAAAATGGACAGAGGCCTTTAAAAAATTCATAAAGAGCATATACAAATAGCTAATACAAAAATAATGAACTTGGTCAAAAATAAAATAAATTTCTATTACTTTGAGATCCTATTTTTATCATATTAACAAAAAAATGTTTAAGTGCAAGACTTAGAGGAATGGAGACATGCTTACATTTCCAGTGAAAGTTTATAAACAGTCTTTCTGAAAGTCATTTTGTACTATGTACACAGAGCCTCACAACTCAGTGTTTATCAAATAAACACTAAAAATTTAAAGCATGTATGTTATTTCATCTCTATGGTATATGGATGCTATTTTGTAGTTCTGGGATTATATCTAACATGTCATAATGTTGTTATCATATTATGGTAGAAAAGCAGAAACAATTTAAACAATTAACAACAAGAAACCAGAAATAAGAGTTTGGTTTTCATGTATTAATTTAAAAAGCAGACTTGAAGCTTCTACAGTATTATTCAAATACTATTTTAAAATTCAAAATAAATGTACAAAAAAAGATTGTAAAGAAAGGTCTAAAAAATGTTAACAGTAATTACCATGTATGTAATAAAATTTTCTGATTATTTCATTTTCTTCTTAAACACTTTGTATAGTCTAAATATTATAAAGTAAATAAAATATCATTATAAAATAACAAAACAATAACAGTGCTAATTGGCCAGTGAGATAATAATAACCACTGTAAGGACACAGAGATGGACCCTTGCAGCACATGGTAAGCATATAATCAGGAGGAATGAATGGCTGGGTGATCTACTCTGTATTAAAATGAAACACAAATTTAGATTATAGGGCTTAAAGCCATCTTAGTAATAGTTATCTTTTAAAATGCTGAATATTTAAAAATACACATTTGACTCCACTGAGTTCATGAACAAGGTAAGGCTATATACCCACACACAAAGTACTAGCTAATGTAATAAGAAGATGAACAAGAGATGTAGATACTGGAAAAGAAAAAATATAATGTCTTTGTTCACAGATGGCATTATTATCTATTTAGCAAATCTGAAAAAAATGACTCCAAACTCCTGAAACTAATAAGACATTATAGCAAGAATGCAAGACAAGATTAATAAATAAAAGTCAATCATTTCCTTATATATTGGCAATGGACAAGCAGAGCTTGAATTTAAAAACACAGTAACATTTATATTAGCATCCTCAAAACTGAAATACACAGGTATGGATCCAGAAAAACATGTATAAAAGCTATAAAAGGAAAACTACAAAACTCTGAATGAAATCAAAGAACTAAATGGATGAAGAGACATTCCATGTTTGTCAACAGTAAGATTCAGTATCATCAAAATGTCAGATCTTCATAGTGGAACTATAAATTCAATGCAATCCCAGTCAAAACCCTAAAAAATTATTTTGTGGGCACCAACAAAATGATTCTAAAATTTATATGGAAAGATGAAGACCCAGAATAGTTAACAAAAAGTATTACAGGAAAAGACAAAATTGGAGGACTGACACTACTCAATTTAAAGATTTAATACAAAGCTACAGTAATCAAGACAGGGCAGAATTGGTGAAAGAACAGATAAACAGATCAATGGATCAGAATAGTCCGCTCATCTTTAATAAGGGAGCAAAGGCAGTACAATGGAAAAAAGAGGCTTTTCAACAGAAGTACTGGAGCAACTGGACAGCCACATGCAAAGAACAGAAGAGAGGAGGAGAAGGGAAAAGAAAGGAGAGGATAAGGAAAGGAGAGGGGAGGAAAATAGAGGAGCTATTGGAGGTGATTAAGATTCAAGTTTATAATCTATATCTTTGCAAAGCATTAAACATACCCAGAATAAGGTAAGCTCTAGATAAGTAGATACAGCACTTAGTACTATCCTAATGCTTATTAAACCTCAGGGTTTGGGAATGACACAAGAGCCGGACATGATATGGAGATACCTCAAAGAGCTGGGACTAGAGGTCCCATTTGACCCAGGCAACCCTCTCCTGTGTATCTTTCCAAAAGAATTAAAAGAATCATACCACAGAGATGTATGAACACATATGTTTATAGCGCCACAGTTTGTAATAGCTAAAACTTGGAAACAGCCCATCTGCCCATCAGTTGGAAACTGGATAAAGAATATGTGTTTTTTCTATAAAATGGAATACTACTCAGCCATAAGAAGGAGAAATTAGATTTATTTATAGGGAAATGGATACATATTGAAGATGTACTCCTAAGTGAAATAAATAAGTCACACATGTGTAAATACCATAAATTTCTCTGGTGTGAAAAACTATAATAGTACATAAGATCCTGATGAGATAACTGACAATGTGAAATAGGAAGGAGAAGGGCTAAAGGTGTAGGGAAAGTGGGAAGGGTGGGGGAAAGTAATAAGGGAAAGAAAAAATATGAGAAAATGAAAAAATGGAAAGGAAGTATTTGTAAATGGGGAGGGGAGGAGGGGGTGAAGGGAGGGCAGGGACAAGGGGAAAAAATGAGAACTAAGGCCTGTCATGTAAAGGTACAAGATCCCAATAATGAATATAACTGTACTGTACTATATACCTAAAATGTACCAATAAACTCAACTTTTAAAAAAAAAGCCGGGCATGGGGGTGCATGGCCTGTTAATCCCAGCACTCGGGAGGCTGAGGCAGGAGGATCGCTGTGAGTTCGAGACCAGCCT